GAGACTTTGATAGGACCCAGGCAAGGGCTACGTAACAATATTACAGACTCTGGTCAACATTCCCAGCACAAGGGTAAAGGGGGGTGATAACGACAGTGTGAAGTGTGAAATGGTTTTCATGAACACCGCTCGAAGGAGCACACCCCACTACATTAACAATAAGCACGGTAATTATGACAGAGAAGGCATGATAGGAGGATATAGGAAATGTGAATAGGTCGAGGCAGAAGGGGAGATACCATAACTGTTCAGCACACGTTTGGTCAAGGGATGGACTTAACTTGTTGTAATATGGTGCTACGAATGGCGAAACTCACTGACGATGCTGACTACGATGCCGGCGAAACTTCTGGGAATGTACTACGTCCACGGTCCTACTCTGGAAATGATGATGCATACAATTGACTCCGGACAAGGTGCGTTCTTCTAGGTCTTCCTACCAATATAACCGAGTTGCGAAAACAAGGTCAAACAACTTCTATACAACGAAAGGAGACTGCGACCACAAAAAAACCACAGCATCTTGGTCTTCAAACCTTCGATTAAATAGAAGGTTTCTCAATGAAAACCGGACCTCGTTAACATTCAATTGGCCATTTTTATGGAATGGTAAGTTAATTAGAAAAAGGCACCCTTTTAGAATGAAGTGCTAAGTAAAAATCGAGAAATTCACAACCTCGCCAAATGGATCTGGGCCAAAGTAAATTTGCTCAGTGGATTTCATTACAAAGCAAGCTAATGAGGCTAGATTGATATCAAAGCTGCAATTGATGAAATGCATAAAAGAACTTTGGTAAAGATAAATCGGTATTTGGCTACAAAACAACACATGTAAATAATACCTAAAAATGTATGAATACCAAGATGGTGTGGCTGTTTGTGTGGTCGCAGTCTTCTTTCGTTGTATAGAAGTTGTTTGACCTTGTTTTCGCAACTCGGTCATATTGGTAGGAAGACATAGAGGAACGCACCTTGTCCGGAGTCCATTGTATGCCTAATCATTTCTAAATTCAGACCGTGGACGTAGTGCATTCCCAGACGTTTCGCCGGGATCATAGTCAGCATCGTCAGTGAGTTTTGCCATTCGTAGAAGGGGAGATACCATAACTGTTTAGCACACGTTTGGTCAAAGGATCGGCTTCACTTGTCTCATTGACGAGTTTTAATATGGTGCTACGAAGGGCAAAACTCACTGACGATGCAAGGTAAACGTCTGGGAATGTACAATGTCCATGGTCCGACTTTGGAAATTATTATGCATACAATGGACTCCAGACAAGGTGCGTTCCTCTAAGTCTTCCTACCAATATGACCGAGTTGCGAAAAAAAGGGCAAACGACTACAATACCTAACAATGTTTCGTATATAATTAGAATTTCGAGACTACCAGTAAATCACTTATATGAGATGTATTCACCATATTTCGCTCAAAGTGATGAAGGACTGGTAGTAGAATTTTCCCACAATAATATGAGAAGAGCTGAAGTTTCCATTGAATTTCACAGAGCCTTGTTTTATCAAAAGTTGTTCTCATCCAGAATGGATTTCAGTTTCGACCTCGCATAGGCCTGTAGTGACCTATCCCCACACATTTCTCATTCAATGTTTCGTTTTTGTTACATCCCATACGTAGTCATGGCTCAACATCCTTTGGCGCGGAGATCACGTGAATGTTTGACTAATCTTGACTTGATTTTGTGTCGCCCAAACAAAGCAAGCTTGTCACCACTTCGTCCAATCAGAAGTTGACATGAAAAACTACATAAGGGTATCAAGCAGCCAACATTCTGTTTAAATCAGTCACGTTTTTTTCATTCTCTTTCTCAGCTCCGCTGTTGCCAGAGGAGTTTACAATGTTCTATTTGCGCCATATTTCAATGATTGTCTTTCTATTGTCAGCTCCAATATACTGTATTTGGTCGTTTCAAAATATGATAATTGGTAGTACTATTTAATTTCTTTTCTCGCTACGTTTCGGGGCCTTCATCTTTAGAGTTGTAGAAGGCAAGCGTTTTATATTTTAAAGACAGTCCACGTCCTTTTTTAAAACACAACAGGTCTTATCAACTCATCTCGTATAACTGATTTACTAGTAATCTTAAAACCCTATTTATACACGAAAAGTAAGTAATGTGGTCGGTTGTTATAGCAAAAATACGTTTGCTTCATCGGCAATCGAACGATAGAATATTAAATGGAAAAAGGCCTGGCCTTCCTTGAAATTCGCATCTGCCCTGTGACCCAAAGACACTCGCGTGTCAATGTGGCCAAGTGGTTAACGTGTCAAAATCATTCTGCACTGTCACAATTCGACTCCCGCTGGGGGTGCTGATAAGATCTATACGAACAACTTTTGGGAAAGCAAGGCTATGTGAAATTCAATGGAAGCGTCAGCTCTACTCATACCATTGTGGGATAATTTTATTACCAGTCCTTCATCACCTTAAACGAAATAGGGTGAGTAAATCTCAAATACCTTACAATAACGTAGTTGCCTTTCAGAAATTGAAAATAAAAATTTTGTCACCTCAACGTCATTTGCATGCATGGCCAACTCGCGCTCATACTTCTCCCGGGCCTCATGAGCTAATCGCCGATGTGATTCTATCTCGGATTTGGCGTTGGATTCAACAACAAGAGCATCAGAGCAACGTGCTTGTAAGGCGGTGAATTCACTCTGCAAATTATTAAGTTCACGGCGCAGATCAGCAGTCTAAAGATAAGAACAAGCGAAGACGTCATTTGTAGACACTACTAATCTGTAACTCTATTTTTCTTACCTCGTTTAAGTGAAAAACATATAGCAAATCGAAAGATAATTTAAGGGCTATTTTCACCTTACGGCTTAGCCCGTAAGGAGTAGTTTAGAGGTTAAGTATCTTATGTAATAAATTGTTTTGTTTAAAAAAATGACGAACTAATTTTTACTCCCTTTAATACCTCAGATACAGAGCATCGGTTTTGAAGAAATCCTCTGAACTTAATTTAGCATGAAATATACAAATATACTATATTCTTAAATAGTTTATATAGACTAGCATAAGAGCTAGCCCTCTCAACTAGCTAAATTCACATGATGTGCATTTACACAAAATTAAATTCTCGGAGCTTCAATAAAAAAAATGAAAAAACGGGTATTTTTTTATATTAATGATTCGTTTGTGCAGGTTTAATTAAAAAGATTTTCTGTTTTATAAGCAGGTTTTCGAGAACATCTCATACAAATAAGAAGATATTTATTAATGAACCTTTGAGTATAAGCCTAAACAGTGCGATTTATGAAATAAACTAGATGGTGAGATCCTGTCGTTTGGCGCCTAAATGAAATCTGCTTGATAAAATTTGGAGCTATTAAGGAAAAAATTTGAGAACGCAATAAAAGACTCATGTTGTAGTACCTCTTATTTCGTTTGAAGGGATTCGTAAGTTGGTTTCACCGGAGGCTATAAGGAAGTTGCCTAACGAATCCATTCCACTCGCATCTTCAAACGAAATGAAAGGTACTCCAACATAAATATATCAAAAGATTCTCCGAAACCCAGTTTATCTACATACCTACGCAATAAAAGATGTTTAGAAAAATAATTGTCGTCAGAGTAGGAAGTAGGTAGTCCTGGTCTGACTGGTAATTGAGGCTTCGAAAATGATAACCCATTGAATTTCGTTTCCAAATAGAATAGTGGAGAAGTTTCATAATATGCCAAAATTACTTCCTCTGCTTACGCCTTACATTTATCTTTTTACTAAACTTATATACTTTTCTACAACTGCCATACACTACCCGAGGCTATAATAAGGAATTTACCAAATTACAGTATATAAAATATGATATAGTTCCCATAATTACTGATTGATCAATTAAGCATTGAATACTGACCATGTTATGTGCTTCTTCAGTTATTTTTATGTTCTCATTCATCAGTGTTTGGCGTTCCTGCTTCTCAAGATCCAGTTGGCTATCCAGAAACTCGCAGCCTAGCAAATGATAAAGAAATTATGTCATAGCATCAAAATGAAAAGCCAAAATAAGTTACTCTGTTATCAAATTTCTTTAAATGATTTTATACAAAGAAATCAAACGTCAATTAATCGCAAAGGCAGGGAAAAACAAATCATTATGAAATATTCAATTCTTCTTGACCAACTGTAATTCAAGAGGAATCTGTCGTCGTCTTCTGGTGGGATCAATCTTTGAATTTATTCGTTACAAGTTTCTATTCGAAATTGGAATGAGCCTAACATGTGTAAAACAGGAGATTCCTCGAAATACAACTTTGCTTTGTATATACTATCGTTTCAAGTGGCTCCCCTGTTGTCCCAGTCAATTTGTATAAACTAAGTCAAACCAACATCATACAACCAAAGAAGACTAAGATCAAACCTGGGGCCATATCATTTTGGTCTTCATATTTACACACAAACTAATAAGTAAGTATGAGATTTCACCCATATAGCAAAAATTAGAGGCAATTTTGGAAGGTAGAAAAGCTCATCAGATTAGTAAAACATAATTCAAGTTAAAAAGTTAATTGAAGATGTGAAGACCAAGATGGTGTAGCCTTTTGTGTGGTCGCAGTCTTCTTTCGTTGTATAGAAGTTGTTTGACCTTGTTTTCGCAACTTGTTCATAATGGTAGGAAGACTTAAAGAAACGCCACTTGTCCTGAGTCCATTGTATGCATAATTATTTCCAAAGTCGGACCGTGGACGTGGTACATTTCCAGACG